CCTGTTTGGAGGCAGAAAGCTTCACATGGCTATCTTACGGAATCTTCCTTATACTCGTGGTTCATCAAAGTGGGTGAGTTAACATGCACAGGAAAGGAGGACTCAACCACAGAGCCCTCAGGAGACTTCTGAGCAGAACTGCACGGGGTTACTTCTACACGAAGGCCTCCACTCTTGGAAAGGGTAAATGACTGGGCTGAGGATGTAGCTCAGTGGTTCTGCTGTCTGCCTCGCAAGTGCTAGGACCTGAGTTCGATCCCCGGTACCAAAAAAAAAAAAAAAAAAAAAAAAAAAAAAAAAAAAGGAAAAAAGGATTCAGAGTGGGACAGAGTGCTCCAAGCTTTACTAGACAGTAAAAAAGAAAAAAAAATTAAATTACCAAACCAGCAGAACTCCGAGAAAATGCAATTTCACAAGTTATAGCAAAAACACTAAAAGCTGTTGAAAATTTGATCTGTGGTAAGATTTGTCAAATATTTTAACTTCCTTTAGGGGATAGAGCTGCATGTCCTACAAATCAGTTTTGAAACTTGAGGCTAGCGATAGACTGGTTATCTTACAAAGGAGGGAACGAAAGCCCACAGAAAGTGGAGAATGATTTGCTTAGGAAAGCAAAACAAATTAAAGGAACAAGACAAGGGAGGTTTCCCAGCCAAGGATCCTTACACACCCACACTTAAAAAGATACAATTTTGGGACTAGGGATGTAGCTCAGTGGTGTTGCTGCCCGCCTCACAACTGCAAGGTCCTGAGTTCAATTCCCAGTACCAAAAAAAAAAAGATACCATTTTAATACTAAGCATGTTTGAACGCTACACATTATAAGCAACTAAAATGACAAAAGTTATTTAAGTGAATGTGCAATTTTTTTCTTTTTTCCTAAATAAAACATTACCTGCACCATTCTAAGCTCTTCAGAAATGGCCTGGAAAGCTTGCTCACTCATCTCAGGAGGCACAGGCTCACTGGATATATCATTATCTAAGTTGCTGCAATTCTGAGTATGCAGACTGCCAACACTCCCAGTTTCAGGGCTTAATTTTGGTACTAATCGAGAACGAAGTTGATAAGCCTTGGTTGGTGTAGTTATAATCTGCCAAAAAAAAAAAAAAAAAGATTATAACCAACAACATTAGCATGTATAAAAAGAATGGCATATTTAGCAAATTTATGAACATAGAAGATACCAGCCAGGGATTTAGGTCAGTGGTTCTGCCGAATGCCTCAAAAGCACAAGGTCCCAAGTTTGATCCTACTACCAAAAAAATCTATATAACAAAAGAAAGGGAAAATATCCTTGAGAAATAAAATAAAACTGACCACATGGGCTGGGGATTTAGCTCAGTGGTCCTGCTGTCTGCCTCCCAAGCACAAGGTCCTGAGTTTGATCCCTGGCACAAAACAAAAACAAAAACAAAAACAAAAATGACAAGGAAGTAAATCTATCAGTTCAACACAATCCCAAACAAAATTGTAGTATGGGTTTTAAAAATGTAACTTGCTAAGTTGATATCTAACTTTATACGAAGAATTAAAAGTATAAGAAGAAATACCTATCTAATATAAAACTGCATTATAAACACAACAGAGCACAGTGTTTAAATTCTTTTAATTCTTAAAACAAAAATGACTGAGCTTTCAGGAAAGCAAGGGAAATATCCAGGCTCTCACTCTTATTTCCCCCAAAAAACAGATAAGAATATTTATTAGAATCTGAATGGCAACTGTAACAAGCACAAAAGCCAGAGTAAACATGGGGACAAATGTCCACAGGAGCTGGAAATTTTTTTGGGGGGGTGGTACCAGAGATTGAATTTGGGACCTCGTGCTTGCGAGGCAGGTAGCGGAACCACTGAGTTAAATCCCCAGCCCTAAGCTGGGATTCTGAGCCTAAGTATGGAGTCTGCTGCAAGGTGCTGACCCAGCCTGAGACTCCAACATAAGCTGGGGTCCTCATGGGAAGCTACACGGCTCCCACACAGGCACGCTTCTTGGTAGAAGCAAGTTAGATGCTGTCAGAAGGACAGTGACTCAGCTGAGGCCCTCCAGGTACAAGGACATACGAACCCATAATCGAAAACTAGACAAAGTGAGAGAAAACAGACCACCTGAGTGAGACTGAACAAACAACAAACAGCACAGACTCCAAGGTCTTCCTGTTCTGGAGTTATCTAGAAAACGTTAAGAAGTAAAAGATGCCATTAAAAAAAAAATGAGCAAAAAAACCAAGTCATTGTTTGAAAATGACTAGGCACTTTTAAAAAGGATCTGATAGAATTAATGACCAGGCACTTGCAACTGTTTGTTTATTTATTGGTACTGGAGATCAAACTCTGGACCTCGCACTTTCGAGGCAGGCGGCAGAACCACTGAGCTAAATCCCTGGCCCAAGCAATGGTTTATTAATGAGCACACTGTTACTACTGTGATATGGCGCTTTTTTTTTTTTTGTACTGGGGACCGAACTTGGAACCTTGCACTTGTGAGGCAGGCAGAGGAACCACTGAGCTAAGTCCCTGGCCCAGTTCCCTACTCTTTGGAGGATACGTATGTGTGTCTTGATTCTTCCTGCCTAATAACGGCTCTTCACTCCTCATACGAGGTTGTATGAGTTACTTGCTGTTGAGGGAGAGTCATCAGATACTATAGTACTTGTGAGTTATCTAGAATCATTACTGATTAAAGAAATATTTGAAGGGCTGGGAATTTAGCTCAGCAGTTTGGTGGCCTGCCTTGCAAGCGTAAGGACCCAAGTTCAATCCCCAGTACCAAAAAAAAGAAAAGAAAAGAAATATTTGAGTGTGTGATATTAAAATGGTTGCAAATTTGAAGGAAAAATAAAATGAATGTTCCTTTAAAAAAACTAAAAGAGAAAATCATGCTTTATTAACATGTGTATAGTCAAAAAAATGGTGAAAAAAAATACAAAATTATAAAAAGTTAAATATTTCTTTAGCCATTCAAAAGTGAAATAGATGCATGGCAGGCCCAGTGTAAAAAGAAAAAGGCACACGCACAAAAAAAGCTAATAAAAAGGTCTCAGGGCTGGGGCTTAGGAACAGTGGTTCCTCTGCCTGCCTTGTAAGCACAAGGTCCTAAGTTCGATTCCCAGTACAGTTCTTCAAAGAAATGAATAAACTTGTGTTTAAAGTCTTCTAATAAGTGAGACAAAAGGCATCACTGGTAAAAGCAACTATGACATGTAAACATGTCATAGTTTCAGGGCTGAAGAGAGGTGGCTTTTTTTGTTGGTGCCAGGTGGGTCAAACTCTGGATCTTGTGCTTACAAGGCAGGCAGCAGCACCACGGAGCTGAATCCCCGGTCCTGAGGAGAGGCTTTTAACCTGCAATCTGGCACAAAAACCGGAACTGCCACGGTCAGCACCAACATCCGCATCACTGTCACAGTCCCTCAGGTCCCCGCATGGTCCCTGACCACTCTCAGATGCTCAGACATCATTATTTTCTTTCACAAAGACTGGTTTGTAGTGGAAACTCCTGTTATCCCCAAGTGTCACCCTGGTAACTGTGTAATTCTCCTGTTTAGGGCTCTGTCTTTAGGGTTTCTGTGCTACTGCAAGCACAGTGTATGTTACTCTACAGCAACAGATACCATTTACAGGGACTCCCAAGCACCAGGCACGTCATCGTTGACTGCTCTGAAATCCCTGCAATTAGATCACCTTCACCCCAAAGTCAGAGAAAACAAAGAAGAAATCCCAAGGTCAATGGCAGAGTAGAAGTTGACTCCAAATGCAGTACTCTTGGGTGCCCGGCCCTACCTCAGGGGTGCACACCAGAGTACCGGGTAAGCCACTGATATTTGAAGATGGACCCTGCAGGCTTCTCCATTAATAAGAGAAACGTGCGACTCCAGGCTTGAGCACTGCTTCACATAACCTACCTTAAGTGTTTCAGCATGGATTTTATTCAGTTGTGAAACTTCTTGCCGTTTGCAGGCTTTTGTTGCTTCTAAAAGGTTTTCAAGATTAAGGTTTGCTTTCTGCAAAGACTGAAGCTCTGATTCCAATTCCAGCTGCTTCTTCCTAAAAGATATTATAAAACTGAGCATTTCAAGTAATAAATAACAACATTTACAAAGTACTTTATAGCTTGTATTTACACATAACTTTATAACTTTTTTTTTTTGAGGTACTGGGGATCAAACTCAGGACCCTGCACTTCTGAGGCAGGTGCAGAGCCACTGAGCTACATCCCTGGCCCCATCTTTATAATTCTTTCTTTAAATCAGAGATATTCTCTCAGATCATTACTTTTTCGTTATCCTTTTCAGGCTGGACAAAACATGGCTCAGGACTGACAGCTATTTAAGGCATTCAGTTAATAGACGGCAAAGCACAGATCCAAAGCCCACGATGGCACCATTTATATGTTTTTTGTTTGTTTGTTTGTTTGTTTGTTTTTTGGTACTGGGAATCAAACTCAAGGCCTCATGCCTGCCAGGCAAGCATTGCGCTGCTGAGCTACATCCTTGGCCTCTGTATCACTTTTTTTTTTTTTTTTAATACTGGGGGTTGAACTTGGGTCCCTGTACTTGCAAGGCAGGAGCAGAACCACTGAGCTATATCCCTCAGTATCACTTTTGAAACAAGCAGTTCTTTATATTTTAGGATAGGACTAGTCTCCATCATATCAATGTGGTCTATCTTTTTTTTATACACAATGAGCGTCAAGGAAGAATATTAACAAACCTGTAATTTTAAAAAGTCCCTATTTATCTTGTAACAACTAGGATTTAAATGTGGTGATGAGACAAAAGAAATTCAAAATGTTAACACGAAAGCAAATCAACACTATAAGAAAACAGGTAAGTATAAATGTATTTACACTTTACCGAGTTAGTTCTTTGAATTCTTCACTTTCCTGCTTTGAATTATTCAGCTCAGTCTGAACTTGCAGGAGCTGTGCTTTTAGCTTCTCAACATTTGCCAATGGACACGGTTCTCTCAGAGCTTTGGGAGAAAATTCCTGCTGGCCTGAAAATAGGGAAATGATCTTTCTTTGAAAGCGGAAAATAACAAAACACACACGCATACATGCGTGCACGAGCACACGGCCCTGGTACTGGTGACTGAACCCAGGGCCATCTCAACTGCCTCATCCCTGGTCCTTTTGTGCAATATTTTCATTTTGAGAGGGAGTCTCGCTAAGTTGCCCGGGCTGGGCTCAAACATGATCCACCAGCCTCAGCATCCCTGTGCAGGGCTTATGGGTGTACAACACCACGCCTGGCCACAAAACACATTTTCTGAGTACTCTGACAGTCATCGATGTGGATGCACACAGAAGATAAATACGGGTACGCTGGAGGGCAAGCTCTTAAATAGAAGGGCCTCATCAGCAGATGCAGGGTACAGTGCAGTGTGCCAAGGACAGTTAGCAGTTGTGGGCAAGAAGCAGAGGCTGCAGGATGGAGACGTGGCGTTAAGGCAACACCTCTCCATCCGGACCGTGACGGTGACAGGTGCGGCATGCATGACGCTGGGTACAGAAACACCAGTGTGGACCGTAGGAACGAGCATAAGCAGCCAGTGTGAGCAGATAATGAATTATGTAGAAGAAAAGAAAGCAAATAGGGGGGCAGCAAGCTGAAAGAACTTGGTGCCATCTACCTGGGAGAAAACAGGGACTGCTCTGAAGACAACGGCAGAGTCCACTGAGTCCCAGCGCAGGAAAATACCGTGTAAATGTTGCTCAGCAGATCACACACGTTTAGAAACTGATCTCACAAACTACTATTAGTATCTGTCTATGGTAGTAAGTAAAGATGCTATTGAGGCCAGAAGGCCAACAAAATACATCTGATCTCAAACTACTATTAGTATCTGTCTATGGTAGTAAGTAAAGATGCTATTGAGGCCAGAAGGCCAACAAAATACAGAGTATTATAGGGAAAAAGAGAAACAGAATGAGTATTTTCTTGCTACAATCATTAGCCTACATAATTTATTATTCTGTGATTTTTTTTTTTTTTCTGGTACCGGGGATTGAACTAGGACCTCACGCTTGCCAAACAGGTGCAGCACTCTTGAGCTACATCCCCAGACAATTCTGTGATTTTTAAAGGAAAATACTTAGGAAGTAAATTCCTTTATGAAACATAAAATAAGTAAGTATGTGCATAAGAAATTAACACACTGGGTCTGGAGAATAAAATGAAGACTAACTGCAAAGCACAAAAATTGCCCTTGAAAACAGCCCCTCCACGGCCAGGGATTTAGCTCAGTGGTGCCACCACCTGCCTTGCTCTTGCAAGGACCCAAGTTCAATCCCTGGTACCAAATAAATAAAATAAAACAGCCCCTACTTGTTGATTTAGCTCAGTGGGACCACCACCTGCCTCACAAGAGCAAGGTCCAGAGTTCAATCCCCAGTAACAAAAAACAAAAACAAGAACAAAATAGCCCCTCCTTGTGCCAGGTGTGGCAGCTTCTGCTTACAATTCCAGGACTCAGGAGGGGAGGCTGAGGCAGGAGGATAGCTGTGTTCAAGGACAGCCTGGGCTACATAGTGAGATTCTGCCTGAAAAAACACCAACCTTTCTTAGAGGAATCATTTCTTACCTTTGTCATTTCGCTCTGTGTCAGATGCTTCAGAAAAAGCTTTTTCTAGTTTGGCAACAGTCTGGGCATCCATTTCGTGGGCTCTCTTCACAGGTTCTAATAACCTCAGTCTTCTATTTTCCTCTCTGAGGGAATGGTTTTCCATGGCATACTTTGCAACTCTGGGGTGGTGCTCTATCTGTGGCACACAATAATCACACAGCTTTATGTATTTACAAACACATCCTTACTGAACTCCTGCTCTGCTGCAACCACTGTGAAAGCACCCAGCATTTGAGGTCAGCCTGAAATACATGTACCCTTCACTCTCTTTATGCTAAGTGGTTTTACTCTTTCATCCAGGGACCTGGGGAGCCCAGCACAGGAGTGCACAGTGTGACAGGGTCTCAAACAAAAGCAACACATCGAAAAGAATGAGGAAACCTTCTGTTCCCCCGATGGAAATGCCCCTCAAGACACTGTAACTGCAAGGGCAAATTGCAGAACAGTACAAAAAAATTAAGAGTAAAAATATTTATCCTGTGAGTTTAAGGATGCATTAAAAACTCTGCAAAGTGACACAAAAGGCCGGTAACACAGTATTTTGCTTTTTTAACTAGGTGCTTTTGTTTAGTGAATCATCCTCCCCAGAAAAAGGGAAAAGCAACAAGGACAACACCTGAAAAGCTCAAGTCTGAACAGACTGCTGACTTCGGTGAGCACAACTGCCTACCAGGGACTCTGTGTGGCCAGCTCGGGCTGAGTGCCATGAGGAAGCATCGGACGCGGTCTTTGCTTTTCCTTCAGGCCCAACTGCTTCAGGAAGTGGGGAAAGGACGCAAGCAAGCCACGCTGCCCAATTCATTTAAAACCCCTCCCAATGCAACCTGGTGCCAAAAGTACAGCCCTTCGACCTGCCACAGCCCGAGCCTGCATGTGCCGCACACTCACTTGTTCGCGCAGCATCTGAATCTCATCCCTCAATTCCGAGAGCAGGCGGTCCTGCTCCTCAGGCAGGAAGCTTCCCGGGGGTTCCTTGAGCAGCTTCTCCAGGCGCACGATGTAAGCCTCTCGCAACTTCACAATCATTTTATAAGACTGAATAAACTTTTCCTTTTTGAGGATGAGGTCTTCTGATTGCGTAATTTTTTCTACCAGAGACTTTAGAAATTCGTAGTTGGGTTAAACATGAAAAATAAGCTTCTCTAAATTTCCACAAACCCAGCACAAATACTATGAATTTGACCTTAAATTTCAGATTATGATTTGATCTTAAACAGATTTTCACAACCTTTTTTTACTTCCTTTACTAACCTGCTGCTATTTCACCTAGTACAGCAATAAAAACCACAATGAAATATCCTGAATCCCTTTTAACTTGTTAGTTTCCTACCTTCTTTTCCTGTTTGGATTTCTTAAAGAGTAACATTGCCTCCAGGAAACACTCCTTGTACGTAGTCTTCTCTTAATTGATCCAGTAAGAAAAAGGAGGGAAAATGGTTACTTCCGAAATTTTAAAACCAAGAGTCCATTCACTCACACCTGGTCCTTCTCTGTTGAAAGGCCTCGCGCTCCTCTTACCTCCAGCAGGGAAGCTTTCCAGGGGGGTCTGCCCAGAAGCGCGCTGGGCCAGCTCTTCTCGGAGCCGCTTCACTTCGGCTTGGAGCTGGCTCACATTCCCCTGGGAGTCTTCGTTCACCACCGCCTGTCCCACAATGCACCAAGGGTTAGAGGGCCGCTTTCTGAGTTGCATGGTCCTGGGTTTACACTTGTTTACATGCTTTGGAGTGAGGAACATCAAACCAATCTGCTTCCACCTCACTGTGCGGTCAAAAAGCCACTGGAATCAGTGTGTGTGGGAGGCAGGATGCTTCCTCTCCCACGCTGTAGCCTACAGCAGGGATGGCAAACCTTTCAGGGCTTCTGATGCTGGGGCACCCTGGGATCTGAGTGTGTTGCTCTAAGACCTACTTCCCTCTCAGAACAACACCTGCCCCACATAAGACAGGAGAGTGAACATCTAAATGGGTACCATTTCCCTCGGTCTTGGTTCCCAAGGCTGAAGGAGCCCAGCAGCTAAGGGCACAAGGACCCGCAGGGCTGGCCTAAGCCCTTTCAGCTTGGCACAAACAGCCCTCTTGGAAGAAGACAGCCCTTGTTTTCTAACAGGGCCTGTTATGTTTATATCCAGACACCCCACAAAGCCTCATGCACTCATGGGGGGACTTCTGAAGAATGACTGAACATGGGGGTGCTACAGCTACATGTGCTGCTAGGAGGTGGGGTGTAGTTAGAAAGGCAGGTCCCTGAGGTGCGGCCTAGAGGGTTACTCTCCTCCCCCCACGTTTGTCCTCCCGCTCTGCTTCCTGGCTGCCAAGATATACAGCACTCTTCTCTACTCGGGGCTTTTCACCATGCCTTTCTGCCTTGGGGTAGGCCAACTACGGACTAAAAACACCAGCCAAAATACGTAAATCTCTCCTACTCTACGTTGCAGGTCTTGGGCATTTTGTGACAATGGCAGCCTTCCTGGAAGGCAGGGTTGGTTCCTGCTTCTTCACCACACTAAAAGGTTATCTTCCTGTTACTGAAGAAAGGTCTCGCTAAGAAGACTTCTAGAAGATAAAAAGGCCACAAGCAAACGTAGCACTGTGGTATGGGGAGGCTGCACACAGGTGGAAACGGAGCACATGGGTACTCTCCACTTTCTGTTCAATTTTACTGTAAATCTAAAACTGCTAGAAAAGTCTATTAAAAACATACATTTTAAAAAGGCCCACAAAATTACATGGGTAATAACAAATGCTAATAGCGAAACATCAACCAGGCCAAAGGGGACTAACCAGGTGTTGCAGCTGTGATAAACCCAACCACTCAGCAAGGAAGAGCACTTTGACAATCCAAGGACCCGTGTTCTTGTCTCGGGGCCTGCCTGTCCACATGGGAAAGTGTGAATGGCTCAGCTGTCAGCAAGTCCCCAAAACCCTAGCACTTGTCACTGATAGGCAGTGGGGGCTGATGCTGACAGTGATTCTACAAAGCTCCTAGTTTTGCTGAGTAGCTGGAACAGGAGCTGTTTATCCAAGAAGCATACAGCAGTCACCACCTGGCTCTTACAGGAAGTTTTCTGACCCCAAGTGTACAGCAACACAGAAGCTTCTTGTATGTAAAATAAAATATGGAATCCTTGGTGATGCAAACAACATGAAAGGCAGAGCGTGTCAAAGTTATCAAAGTATTTTCATACAATTCCCCCTACAATACACATCCCATGTGTGCAAGGGGAAGGCAGACACATGCACACACAAACATCAGACTGCTAGCATTGTGCAGGCAAATATATTTACTCTTCACCATAATCGTAAAGGAAAAACTCTGCCTTAAGAAACAGCAGCAAAACAACAATGCCCGTAAGACATAACCTAGCTCTCAAGTTACAGGAATGAAATAAAGGACTGGGGTGCAGCTCAGCAGGACAGTGTTTTTGTGTAGCACCTGTAAGGCTCTGGGTTGAATAGCTAGCACCGTGGGGGTTAAATAGAAACCTTGCATACAGTTAAGATAAGCTTTTATAGAGAATAAATAAGTTATTGGTAATATTAAGGCAATCAAAAAAATGTTACACTTAGAGCTTAAGTATTTTCCTAATTCACTTAATACAGCATAGCGAATACTCAGGTATTTTACCTTGTTTTTAATCAGTTTGGCTCTCTGAGCAAAATTAAGTGTTGACAGAGTTTCTCCGAAACACCTGGATCCAGGATGAACATTTGCAATTATGGCTGTTTTGGCATTGCCACCAAGAGAGTCCTGTTCAATGACATGAGTGACAGACATTTTTAGGAGATAAATCACAAGATCTTCTTAGGCAAAGAGAAGATATACTCCGGCCACCAGCGCAGAGACTAGTCTTAATGAGGACAACAGAAGAGGCCAGTTTGTCCGGGGATCAACGTTACCCTCAGTAGGAAGGTGAGCTTGGAGTCTCTGTAGCAGACATGTCTCTGTTTCCCATTGCCCACATCAACCAGTGCGGTAATCACTTGTCCTAGGCAGCTCAGCGATCGATTTATGTTACCTGCTTCCTAATGCATTGGGGAAAAGAACACAAGTTTAGGTGCACTAGATACTTTTTGATATTTTAAGCTAAAATGGATCTAGCAGGTGACACTTTAGGATGGAAAGGAAATTTAGGGACAATAGTAGTTAAAGACAATTAATTTGAGCTAAAAAAAAAAAAAAGTATGCTCAGCTACCCTCTACCTTTCCCTGTCTGCTGTGCACCGTAACTCAAGAATGGCATGGGAACAGATGGTCAGGAGGAGCTGTATTTCAGCCTTTCCCAAGCCAGTACAACACAGGCCAGCCCTGCAAGACTGGGCAGCAGAATTGAGCTATAGCTCCCAGGCGGCCACCGAACATGAGAGCCAACAACTAACCCTCCACAGTGTACTGCCTGGGCCACCACAGGCCACGACATTCAGCAGGTCAGGTGCTTTCAAAGGCCCTTTGGACTCGGGCACTTCTAACGCACAATGAGTTTACTGGAACATAACCCTGCTATCATGTTGAGAAACATCTACATAAACATGCTATTGTTTTAAGCTTCATAGGGCGATAGAAACATGAGCCTTGGCCTGAGGTTGCAGCTCAGTGGTACGGCACTTGCCTAGCACATGCAAGCTCTGCATTTCATCCCCAGCAACACAGAAAAAAACAAACAAACAAACAAAAAAACAAACTGCTGCAAAACATGAGATTTAGGCTGTCTGAAACTGCCTGAGAGCTTAGGAAGCTCAAATCTCACTTTTTTTGTTTGTTTGTTTGTTTGTTTCCCATCTCCTCAGGACAGAACTGAGGGCTTTGTGCATGCTAGGCAAGCCCTCTAAGCTACATTGCCACACCTTTTTTGTCTCACTAAACTGTACAAGGTGGGCCAGGGATCTGGCTGACTGGCACACATGCCTGTCTCACAGGTTCTGAGTTTGATCCCCAGTACCAAGAAAAACAAAAAGTTGTAAAAGCTGGCTTTGCATTTGCAATCTTCCTGCCTCAGTCTCCCACATACCTAGGATTACAGGAATGTGCCATTGTATCTGACTTCAAGGCTCACATTTAATGCAAAAAAAAAAAAAAAAAAAAAAAAAAA